GGATTATTTCTTTGCCTAGGCATTTATGGGAATGAACTCTACTTTTTCTTTTCTTTTTTTTTTTTTTTTTTTTTTAAGAGTGATACCTCTTTAAACAGGTTGGTAAGAAGCGGTTTTTCTTGTTTACCAGTAGGTGGCGCTGAAGCACAACTATTTTATTTTCTCTTGCATTGCTAGGTCTTTTCGAACCTGTGCCTTGTATTCCCTGGGGGAGATCACTCTGTGACCAGGTGACCTTGGGTGATGGGTTTAGAGCCCCTGAAATCCCGATGCTGCCCCTGGAGTCAGATGCAGTGCTGCACTACCTGAGCTGGCCCAGGTGCCCCTGCTGGGATCAGCTGTGAAGGGTGGGGGTGAGGTGGGCTGGGAGAGGCCACTGGTGTGTGTGTGTGTGTGTGTGTGTGTGTGTGTGGCTTTGTTCTTTTCCCAGTAATGGCCGCTGACAGACCTCAGCGCCATGCCTCTGTATTTCTACCCGTCTCTGTGATTAGCCACAGTGTGGGTCTGCCGTTTAGGAATTCTCTCCAGTTCTCAGGGCTGTAGATATTCTGCTCTTTAACCCGACAACCCGACACTCACTGCTACAGTTTCTTCTGGGGTTTGCTGCTTGTTTGTGGGAGGGTGCTGGGAGGTGAGCTCTGGTAGGATTGGGGGACAGGGCCAGGCTCTGTGGCTTTGTTTTCTGCCTGACAATTGCAGCTGCTAGACCACAGCTGCCACCCTCCTGTATTCAGTCTCTGCCCCATCACTGGATTTAGCCATTATACATGCTGATCACTCAGGCAAGAATGCTCAAAGCTACAGAGAGTACACCTGCGACCTGAACCCTCCCCTCTCCCAGTCCCATCGTGAGCTCTGGGCTGTGTCCACGGCACCTGTCTCTGCTCTTCTCCTTTCCCTCCTCCCCTGTTCACCCCGATTTGCCCACTTTCAGATATCTGGATGGGTGGATCTCTCAGACATGTTTGTGTGTTGCACAGGGAGTCCTTTGTTGAATTATAGCTGTTCAACTTGTTGTAACTTCAAGGGGAGAGATCAGGGGGACCTCTCACACTGCCATGCTTCTGACATCATTCTCCTACATGTTTTTAAGTGATTGAAAAAAATCAAAAGAAGAATAATGTTTTGTAACACATGACAATTATATCATCAAATTCCACAGCCACAACTCAATTCTTTATATATTTCCTATGGCTGCTTCTGTGCTACAGCAGCAGAGTTGAATAGTGACAAAGACTACATCTCACAAAGCCTAAAATATTGACCAGGATTAGAGCCCACTGAGGTTCCTGGTCATTAATTTAAAGATAATAGTTACCAAGTTGTGTTTTTATAGCTATGTTCAGCTGTGCATGAAAAGATGTGAATAGGTTAAAATTTCAGTTTAACCAGTATTGGGATTTTTCCAAGGGTGTGTGGTAAAAGGAGATAGGAACAAGGGAGTTGATGATATACACAAGGGTTTGGTTATGATGAAAAGAGGGGAGAGAAGACATAAACAGATAGTGATTATGAAAATGTACAGTGTATTTTGGTTCTACCAAAGGATCATTGGTGTTGAGATACTAAAGGGAATGTGTAGGAAATATGGAAAGTGGTGGTCAAAGAGTAGGATGTTTGAAATTGAAATTATGGAAGGTTTATTCTTATTGGTAATGACTGGGCCTGGGGTATAACTATAAGAATGAGTGACCACATACACTTAGAAGTCAAGGTCTTTGGAGGCGAGGACATTAGGGAAGAGAGAAGTCATGGTGTTGAATATGTGAATATTGCTAACTTTGGAATTAAGAATTTGGGGAATACTGAGCCAGGAGCTGAATTTTAATTCAGGTACTTAGGGAGGAGGGGTGACTACAAGGTCAGCAGATGATTGCAACAGTGAGAGATAGTGAGTTATGTAGTGTGATAATGCGAGATCTAATGCTGTGAGTTTTGGGAAAGGAGGAAGGAAAAATTCTCTGGAAAGAGCAGTAATAGGACTTCTGTTCTACCTCCAGAGCTGTTGTTTGACGGTGTGAGAGAGAAAACAGCCACCAGTTAGGAGACCTACAAGGAAAGTGGCATCCTTTGGGGAGATGTGAGTTTTAGTTAGAGCAAGCCAGTGAAGGAATGTTCAGAGATGAGGTTAAGAACACAGGAAATTTGGGCCGGCCAAGTGGCACGTTGGTTAAGAGCTGGCTTGGGACGCCAGCTCTGAGCAGCAGGGCTCCAGTTTGGATCCCACATGAGGGCCAGTGACACTGCCCTCTACAGCTAAGATAGTGAACAACAGCTCCACCTGGAGCTGGGCTGCCGTGAGTTGCTGGCAACAACGTAGGCTGCAGCGGGGCTGCAGTGGGGTGCTGTAAGCTACCGTGAGTGGTCGGCAGCCAGCGTGAGCGACCGTGAGCCACCATGAGTGGCCGTCCAATGGCTGGCGAGCAACTGCCTCAGCCGGAAAGAGTGCAGTGATCACAATATCAACATGGGCCAGTGAAGCGACTTCCTCCACAACTAGACTGAAGAACAAAAGGACAACTTGTCTGTTCCCTGATTACCCAGCGCTGCTCCCCTCTCCCAATTCCCCAATAAAACCTTAAAAAAAAATACAGGAAATGTTTCTGATTATGGTTACTGAAGGCAGGCAGAAGGGTTTCTGGAGCTGGGGAGCAGTGGGAGATGGAGACAAAATAGAGGATGTGAAGAACAAGTAGAGTGCAAGAGATAAGGCATTGTGTCCCATCACCCTTTTTTTCACCTTTATGGTATGAGTAACTTTGAAATCATGTTGTTCATGTGTGTATATTTATGTATCCACATACGTTTCCCCTTCTATGTATGCCTGAAATAAGAACAGGGACTTGTGTCTTATTCACCTCTACATGTGGAGGGCCTTTGATAGGCTCTGTATTTGGTACTTTATTATAATGAGAAAAGAGAAGATTGGGTATATTAGTATACCTGATATATTAGCAGGTAGAATTATATATTTTGTGGTGGCAAGGGTTCTCATCTGTATAAGGCAAGGCTATCAGTTGAGAGAGAGGGAGACAGAGGTTTAAGAACAATGGAAAACATATGGAATAATTGTGAAGAGTAGGATTGTGAAACCACCAGAAAAACTTAATGCTTCTTCCTAGCATCAAGTGTCTGTTTTAGGTTGGTGATCATTTTAGGTTGACTATAATTGTTTCCAAAGGAACATTTGAACATGTGAGCTTGAGGATAGAATAGGAAAGTATAGTTTAAAGCAGGCTTTTAATTTGTGTTTTTAGAGGTACTACAATAACTGGTAATGACAAGGCGTAGACATTGAATGACCGAGGTAGAGTAGAAGAAAAAGTTATTGGAGATGAGGAGTTCCTAGAAAGCAGAGAGACCAGGACAGGCTATTGGGTATGTTATCCATATGGATATTGAAATTCCGTAGAAAGGTCAGAGTTGGAGTGAAGAGGAAGATTTTGAGCAGTCAGATGCTGAGTTCTGAAGATGCTTACAATACTTCGTCTATAAACTAAAGTGTTGTCTTTATTCTGTTTCTTTTTTTTACATTTTTTTATTTAAATATGGTAACATATACTTAACAAAATTTGCCATTTTAAGTATACACTTCAGTGGCATTAAGTACATTTACGCTTGTACAGCCATTACTACCGTCTATCAGCAAAACTTTTTCATCTTCCCAAACTGAAACTCCATACTCATACCCATTAAACAGTGACTCCCCATTTCCTCCTCCTCCAGCCACTAATCTACTTTCTGACTCTATTAATTTGACTCTTATAGGTACCTCATATTAAGTGAAATCATGCAGTGTTTGTCCTCTTGTGACTGGCTTTTTTTACACTTGGCATAATGTCATCAGGGTTCATCCATCTTATAGCGTGTTCATCCATGTTATAGCGTGTGTCAGAATTTCCTTCCTTTTTAAGGCTGAGTAACATTCCATTGTGTGTATATGCCACATTTTGTTTATCCATTTATCCATTGATGTACACTTGGGTTGCATCCATCTTTCAGCTATTGTAAATAATGCTGCTATGAACATGGATGTACAAATATATCTTTTGAGTCTCTGCTTCCAGTTTTTTTGAGCATATACCCAGAAATGGAATTGCTGGATCATATCATAATTCTATTTTTAATTTTTTAAGGAACCATCATATATATTGTTTGCCATAGTAGCTGCATTCGTTTATTCATACATTCCCACCAGCAATGCACAAGGGTTCCAGTTTCTCAACCAACATTGCTTATTTTCTCTCTCTCTCTCTCTC